AAGATTTAGAAAAAGTTGATTCATGTCAGCACCACACCATGGAGATTGACTAAAGTTAACTTCAAGATTAGGGTAGACATGACCTCTCTATAGAAGAACCCAAGACTCCATGTGTTTGTCCTAATCCAGGTGAGACTGAAGCTGACAGAACTGAATTTCTTTGTGGTGTGTGTTACTGCTGAGAATATGTTTCTTCTTGCTCAAAATGTGAAAAGTTGAGATCCTAAATCTTTCCAATCTTAGCAGAAGAAACAGGAATCTCCAGTAATCTATTTACTCCAAGTATTTGGGACTAAAATACAGACTTTTTGCTAAGATGAAACCATTAAGAATTTAGAAATATATATCCTCTATTTGAGAAGGAAAAGAGAATGTAAAAAGCCAAGTAAAGCAAACATGACATCTATATTTTATCTTTAGAAGTTAAGCTTCTGAAGAAAAGATCAGGTGGAATTCGAGTATCTTTTAATAGGTCAACAGGAAGATAACTCATTAGGTAGTAACATTAGCTAAAAGACCAAATAGGCATAGTATTTTTATCTTTGGATTTAAATTTTAAAAGTTTTTTAGTAGTCTGGCTGCAATTAAAAATACACACACACACACACACACAATTCAGCCATTGTTTCTGAATCATGAGAACTTGATTTTTCCTTCAGCTGTTAACTTTAAAACAGTTTATTTTTTGCTCCCTTCCTCATTCTGTAATCTGTCGCATATATAACCACTTAACCACTTATCCTGTCCATTCCTCATATGGAATATTTAGTACTGATTTACAGTTTACCAATATATATACCCTTGGTTTCTTGGCCTTTGTCATAGTCAAATTATTATAAAATGTAATGAATGTTCATCTATAGCCAAGAAGTCTCCCAAACTCAGTTTAATAACTACCAGTTTTTCAAGTTAATAAAAGCACCTTGCCATTTTCCTAAAACAAACAAACAAACAAACAAACAAACAAAAAACTGAAACAGCTGCAAGCAACATTTCCCTGGCAGATCCACAAGCCCCATCCAGGGCTTGAGTCCAGATGGGTATTTAACTAAACTAGAATGAGGGACATCCAGAACTTAGATAATGAACGAGAAACTGCCTTTAAATACTGCAGGCTAAATCAGAAACACAAGAAACAAAAGTACAAAGATGAAAGAAATGCATTAGAATTTTTGTAGGTTGCTAGGGGGAAGGAAATAAAAGGAAAACAGGAAGAAAAAAGGTAAAGGGCAAGTCTAGAACATATCAAGATAGTCTGAAGTTTCTAACTTGAGGATTTATAATTTGAGTACATTTCAGTTTGCGGCATTCCAGGAGAGAATCCCTATTCTTGGGGCATACTAGCGTACCTCAATAACACATCCCTAAGAAACTCTGACCATAGTCCTCTCCCATTCCAAGTAGTGTTACTTGAACAAAACAAGGTACTAAATCCTGAAAGTATACCCTTCTATCCCCAAGGCCCACATCCATCCCTAAAAACTTCCTACTACTTTTTGTGTATATGACAAAGAATATCCTGGGTTTTTATTGTGCACTAAGATGTTTGATAGTTACTCTGGGCAATATGGATGATCCTTAGGTGTCTTAAAATTCCTCAATGGCTGACTGGGTTGCCTTTTCATTGCAACTTAAGACAGAACATACAAATAGATGAAATCACTTTAGTAAACAAAAATAAAGTACACCAAATTTGTCTTTATAGCTTAATCCCAATCTGTCCTTTTTTTCTCCTTTTGGAATCTCAACTAGAAAATTCTCTGCTCCTTCTACTTGTTTTTATACTTTTCTGATGGTCTCACCAACATGCTGGTTTCTTCTGGGGGAGTTGCATTTTAATACAGTATCCAATTTTGTAAGGTGAGGCTTTGTCCCAGAGACTTTTCAGTTACTACACCCTGTTTACTCAAGAGACAGGCTTTGAAAGTAAACTGTATTAAGGTGAAGATGGAGGAAGTGGCAATGGTGGGTGATTTTGTTCTCCTCCCCAAGCTTTCACACTAGATGCCTTGCTAGAGGCTGTCCCAGTGGCGCTGCTGCACACCCAATTCCAGGAGGTATTAACTGGAAAATTTGGAACTGGTTTGAATACTTCTAGAGTATTCTAGAAGTATAAAATTCTGAGACATAGAACTCCTGGTGAACAAGTAGGGTTTTATTCTGCTTCTAAACCAGGCCTCACCTCTCTTCTCGCCTGAGCAATTGTACCCATTGTCCCTCAGATTCTGAAGCAGCTGGGGAAGACTGGAACATGCATGTGTCCCACAGTGTGGCAATGTGTGGGCCACGTATTAGTGCAAGGGAGAGCAATTTTCTATTTCTTTTAACAATTGTAGAATAAAATATTCACAGACCATTTAAAAAATTCAACACGAATATTATTTCTGTCTCTCTCCCTCTCTTTCTCTGTGTGTGTGTGTGTGTGTGTGTGTGTATGTGTGTATTCCCTCCATCTAGATTAAATGTAGATTTAATATCAGTGAAAAATTTGGAGCCACTCCTTGGTTACTAACATGTTAATGTTTGCCAAAAGACAGGACAATTGTCTAATCGCATCCTGAAAATAGGCCTATCACATGGAAAATTGAGAATTTTGCAAACCTGAGTCAGGAGTTGCTCATTACTGGCCTGGAATCTGATCCTCTTCAAGCCATTCAAAAACACAGAACAACTAGTTGCTGAATTGAAAGTGAGGATAGGTAGTTTCAAACTTGAGTCATATGAAGAATAGGTCTGAGGATGTAAACCCCACACTTAATTTTTAACATGAGGGCAAATGTCAGGATTATCTAATTCAACCATCCAGATTTCATACACAAGAAACCAGACCAGTTACATTACTTCTCAAGGCAAATATTTAGTGGGAGTTAGACTGTTTCGGTTTGATTACTAAATTCAGCATTTTTCAGTTGTGAGGCATTAAATATGTTACTCTACCTCTCTTTGCCATAGTGTTCTGTCTGCACAAATGGGACAAGTTTGTGGAACTATCTCACAAGGAATAGATGAATCTATTCATACATATAAGCCACTTAAATTAGATGTGAACAGTTTGTATTCAATAAATGATAAACTCTCTCTGCAGTTGTTCCATTTGAAGCATTTAAATATTTCCTCATGATTTTTAGAATAATTTCAAATACAGAAAGATCCATTTATATACATTCCTGGAAGAGATGGCATCTCTATGAATTTTAGAATTAAAATACAAAACATTTTCAATATTCTTATATGAAAATTAAGTGGGTCTTTAGCATGAACTTGGGTCAGATTTGGAGACATGTAGTAACTCACCATGTTGGACGAGCATGTCAGGTCTGGTAAGCTTAGGGGAATGGGGAAAAGGAGGTGGAATAACCTCCCCATTCAGAGATAACACCTCCCCACCTGCTCATAACTCAGACATTTCTGTACTTTGTAGAAGAGAGGGATAAAAGGAAATGATGAGGAAAGTTAGACTCATATAACTTTGCCTTTCTTAGAATTTCTCTTACTGTGAAGGTCGTCCTTTCTCTTTTTAGCTCTATCAGTCAAGGTCAAGCTCTTTGTGAAAATTTCCCAAAGTCCCCAACCCCACTGTCACCTTTTGATCTCATAAAATTCTCACAATTATTGTCACTCTGTTCGTTTGGAGGCCATACACTTAGATGTTAATTCCAAGCGATACTCCAATGACTTTTCTACCACTTTAAGGATTTGCTAGTTTTCTGTTAATATTTTGTTGCCCAACTAGAGGTTAAGTAACTTGAAATTCTCCGATGATAACCCCCCTTTTTTAAAAATAAAAATGGATTGACCAAAGAAAGAAAAAGAAAAGTAATGAAGTAAAAGAAAGCAAAGCACCATCGTTCAGAAGAATTTGCCAGAACAACTCAAATACCAGCTTTGCTCCACAAGCCCCACCCAAAAACTAAGCAGGACTGAAATGGACAAAGTAAAGCCATAACAAAGCTTGGTAAATATTTAGCTTGTCTTGGACTATTGCAATAGATTCCTAGCTAATCTTTTTGCTTCCAGTCTCTCTCCTGTGCATTTTCTACACCGCTGCTCAAAGGATCTTACCTCTTTTAGACACTCAATTATTGGGGTTTAACTGAATTTATAAGCATGTATTTTGTTCAAGGAAAAACTGTTACCGTAGTGATTCAAGGAATTATATCAATGTTACGCTGTTAGTGGAAGGGCACTATTCTGGCAATTTAAAGGGTAAAAAAGAAGGTAGAAAACAAGGTTTGGTATAATGTATGCAGGTTATTTCTAAACCCATGAGACTGACTGTGATCTACTCTCTCAGCAATCATAGCAAAATAAGCATTCTTTATATATAATTCTCCATATGCAACATAAATGTGATTCTTATTTGTCCCACCAGAGTAATGCTGATATTAGAAACTGTAGTTCAGGGAATAATATACATTTTATAGATTTAATCATTCAATCAACAAGTGGATATTCAGTGCCTACTACATTCCACACATCAAGACTGATAAAATATTTCAGAAATAAAACAAATGCTAGGAGGTCATGAAAATGTTGCTTTTGTTAACTGTGACAAGATAAGTGCTTATGGGTAAAATCATACCTGTTGAGCCAGTCGAGCTCAGAAGCAGGAACAGATGCCACATGGAAATAAGGAAAGTTTGAGAAGAGTTTAATATCCCTTTTATGAGCTATGTACAGGGAAACTACAGGGCCAGAGGTACACTAGTGTGAGAAGAAGGGGGTGCACTAGCATGGGGGGCTCTGCACAACACTTAGGCCTGAGGGAGTGGGGGGGTTACAAGAACATGGAGACAGAAGCTGAAACCTTTGAACTCCATGGGGCTGGGGTCTGAGGCTCGCATATCCCCTCACTCTCAGCATACCCTGCTAAACCTGACCAGTGTGAGGCCCTCCTGGGGTCCACACAATTCAGCCACACTAGCCACAGCACAGTACAGAGAATGAAACCCAAACACTCAGAGATATTACTCAGCACCCCCTTAAAACTTCCTTATTACCTATGTAGTCAGCATGGGCTGGTCAAGCAGTGCAAACTCTGGATGAACGCGTGATGTAGAGCCATTTTTAAACCAGCACAATCATAGCTTGAGATTCCTTAAGGCACAGTGTCCGAAAGCTGTCAACATCGATGCTGTTTATAGACAGTTGAAAATTAACAAACCAAGAAGAAAAAGATCATTTCGGATCTGGCTTGGCTGTGTAAAACTTACTACTAATTTCAGCCATCTGTATTAATTGCTTACCACTTACATCCAATAACCATGCAGCACAACACTTATGCATCACTAAACAGGTGTCAAGTTAACCTCACACTAACTTTGCAATGTTAACTTTATGTAACTAGCTCAGGTCATCTTTCAGCAGTTTTTTTTTTAGATTTTGACTCATATTCTCTCTCATTTAACTCAAAGAAAATATTGGTTTCAGTGATATTCTGCCCAATCATGTGGTCTCCAGAGATCCAAGAAATAAAAAAAAAAAAAAAATGATGGTGGCTCCTCTAGCAGTAATATGACTTTATTTAGTAGTGCTTTAAGCCCAACCAAAGTCCAGGATTGGGTTATCAACTAATTTCAGCCATGATATAAAGCAGAGAAAAACTCATGCCAGAACCTTTATAGCTCTTAAGTCATAGGACTCAGTATGCTATGAACTGCCACCAGGAGGACCAGCTGGGCAAGGGGTGTGCTATCTTTAGCAAATGTATCCTGATCACTAAAACCACATTCCATTTTTGCACTTGAACTAATTCTTGATTATAGCATAAAACTGGAGACAAGCTGACCTACCCTCAAACACCAGTGATTAAAGTTATCATGATGTGTTAGGCTTATATATTTGCATTTCCAGTAATGAATCAGAGCTCTTATTACTGAGTTTATGCATTTATTCTCAAGATTCATAAAATTTTTTCCTTCTTCTTGATTCATGGAGAATAGATGTAGTCTACAAATTTTAGATTGTTTAAACTGCCAGACAAAGAGTGCCCAAAAAATTCAAATAATTCTAAAATGGTGCAGTTTAATTATATCAAAAAATCATATTTCAGCAGTGGGCCTAATGCTATAATTAAGTAGATTCAAGGTACAATATGGTATGCATTTAAAGGATTAATTTACTTTAAAGAATGTTCCCTTTGATCCTAGCAAATAGTCAAGTTACTCTTGCCTCACTTCTGGATAAAGATCTATACTCAGAAATTTAAAAGAGGGAACACATGTGAGATGACCATATTTCATAGCTTTCGAAATAACATTATCTTTAGGGTTTCCAGCTCACTGGAAATTCATCTTCCAGCATCGCGGGACCTCTCACAGTCAGCAGTTCCTCATTGCAGGCCTTCACTGCTGATAAAAGGGGAGAATGGTTATATTAAGACCCAGTGTGCACCAAGATGGAAGGTAACTTGGTGATGGAGAGAATCCAATTGCTTGCATCTCTGAATCCTTGTGTGCTGATGTGTTCTTGGCCTTTAGACAATTTGCCACAGTTGTACAGAGAGGACTGCTACACTAATCACTTGAATGTCAACAGGCATTAACTGACTCTCCATGGTAAACGAATGATGAAATTGAGATAGTTTGAGAGTAGTTTTTATGGAGTTAGAATACCTACTAAATAAAAAAATAAAAAGTATAGCTGCCTTATAGTGTTTGCCTAATTTCTACTACATAATTCAAACCATTTCATTATTTAATTCTTTAGGCAACTCTGTGAGGTAGAGAGTTTACCCACCACATAGATGAGACAATGAGATTAATGGAAACAGCACAATTACCCAGGATCGCTTAGTATATGTAGGAAGAGGAGCCTGGATTGAAGACCAAATCTGTCTAGTTCTAAAGTTCCTATCTTTTTCACTCTTCTTAGCAACGCATTTTGGTCTTCCAGTTACGGCTGGATTTTTTTTTTTCTCCTTGGAGATTTCTCCATTACCTGGTACGCATAAACCCACAGCTTATCTCTGACTGTTCTCCTGCTCTCTACGCCATCTCAAACATCTGACTCAGAGTAATCTTCCTGAAGCAGCAAGACATGAGATTAGTGAAGCAGAAGCCCTATTATGTCACTTGGGACAATGCCCTATGGACTGTGGTTGGTAGATTACTGTCTGGAAAAGTCACATTTTGGAGGGTGAGAGATGATGATTAATATAAAGTCTTTTATCAAGACCAATTTTAAGAAATGTCAGAATGTCCAAGTTGTTTTTTTTTTTTTTTTAAGAAACTTGCTGGCAAAACAATTATCTTTTTTCTCAAACTTTTATTTTTTAAAGTAATGTTGCATCAGAACAGCATGTAAGTTTCAGGTGTGAATCCTTATAAATCAGTCTATATATATATATACCACACTAAGTTCACCACTAAAAATCCAATTCTATCCTTCATAAAGTTGACCCCTTTTCTATCTGATTGACTCACCCTTATGCTTCCTTCCCTCTGGTACACATAATTTCATCTTATAGTCTAAAGGGAAATTTTAATTTTATTTAGCTCATTTGTTTTGTTTCTTTATGGTCCTCTGTCACCCACTGTTCTGGGAGGGCTGTCAGGAGTTAACAATTACAGATTTCTCCTTTCCAAGGCTTGCTCTCACACTTGTGCTATGGATCCCATCCCTTCCAAATTCCTTAAGAAACTTGTTAACACATGTTTTACCTTCATCACTAGAATCTTTAGCTTCTTCTTCATTCCTTTTTTTTCCCTCAGACTTCACCAAAAAACGTTTCGTTTGCTCTGCTGTCCCCTCTAGCTACCATCTTACTTCTCTCATTTTCATTAACAAACTTTTTAAACAAATGGTCTCAATTCTCTGCTGTCATCTGTTTCATATAGCCTCCCTTCAGCCTCTGACATTCTGTCTGCCTTCCCACTACCCTTTCATGGATGTTAGTGGTTCTCTTGCCAAATACATTGGAAAGTCGTTTTTCTTGGTGTCTCAATGGCATGTTATTTTAAATGCTCACTCCTTGAAACATGTTCTTCATTCTTGGTTCCCTTGTGTCTTTTCCTCCAACTTTAAGTAGCTTCCTTTCCTACTCCCCCTTTGGTATTTTTATTTATTTTCTTCTATTTTAGGGATTTGTTGTAGTTGTGACTTAATGAGGGTATTAATTTTAGCAGCTTTATTGAGATATTACTTTTAAGATAAACAGAAATAATTAAAATATACAGCCATATATTCTGATATATTCATACAACTGTGAAACTGTTGCCACAATCAAGATAGTGAAAATACCCATCACCCCCAAAAGACTTTTCATGATGTCCTATACTCACTCTCTCCTCCATGTCCTTTAATTGTCCCTGACTTCATCTCTAAGCAGCCAATTCTTTGGTTTCTGCCACTGTAGATTTGTTTTCATTTTCTGAAGTTTTATAAATGGAATGATAAAGTTGTCCCATGTTTGGCCTGTTTTTTTTTTTTCATTCAGTATAATTATTTTGAATTGTTGCATGTATAGATAGTTCATTCGTTTTTGCTCTTCAATATGAATTCATTGTATAAATATTCTAGACTGTGTCTGTTCATTTCAATTCTGTCTATTCTTTGACTGACAGCTGGATTATTTCCAGGTTTTGGTTGTTACGCAGAAGCATCTATGAAGATTTGTGTGTAGGTCTTCCTCTAAATATCTTAATACATAGGTGTGGAATGTATAGATCTTACAGTACTGTTGTTTACCATTAAAAAAAAAACTGGTAAATCAATTTCCAAAATGGTGTATATTTTACATTTCTACAAGTAGTATATATGCAAGTCAGTTCCTCAAATACTAGCACTTGATATGCTCAATATTTTGATTATAGCTATTCAGATAGATGTATAATAGAATCTCAGTGTGCTTTTAATGTACATTTCTCTAATGACTCATGACATTCAACCACTTGTCATGAGTTTTTCATCTGTAGGTCTTCTTTGAAGTTTGTGTTCTCAACTTTATCAGGTTTTTTTTTTTTTCCTTATTGAGCTGCCTGTTTTCTTATGTTAAGTTTGAGAATACTTTATCCTAATTATAACTCCTTTATCATACATACGATTTTTGAATTTTTTTTTTATTCTGTGGCTTTCCTAACAATGTATTTCAAAAACATTTTTAATTTGGATGAAATGAAATTTATCGATATTTTTTCTTTGCTAGTGTGTTTTTGGTATTATAACAATTCTTTGTCTAACCTGACAGCACTAAAATTGTATGTTTTACTTTTTGAAATTTTAGTTTTAAGTTTTACGCTTTTTATGTTTGTGATACATTTTTCAAGTTAATTTTATATTGTGGTGAGAGGTATGAATGAACATTTTATGAAATGTGAATATCCATTATTTGTTGTAAAGATGCCTCTCTCCTTTGAACTGCCCTTGCAACTATGTAAATATGTATGGAACTCTTTTATCTCACTTTATCAGTTAATGTATCTACTGCACTAAAATCACACTGTCTTCAGTAGGGCAGCTTTACAATGTCTTGAAATCAGGTAATACTAGCCCTCCAACATAGTCCTTTCCCTTCCTTTTGAAATTCCCCAGCTGTGGCTATTGCTATTGGTTACCTTTGTGGACTTGAACATTTCTCTCTAAACGTAACTGGCCTTAGTGAGTTCTGGAAACTTTCTCATAATTTCCATAAATGCTTTTGCTGAAAGGTTTAAGAAAAAAACTAAACAAAACACAAAAAAGCAGAACCATCAGCACCAGCTTCTCCTTTAAGTTCCAGATCTGTGTCTCTGCCAATAAACAGACAATAGTACTTGGAAATCTTATTTCTTCAAGTTCCGAACCCTTCTGAACTTCTCCCCTGACACCCTCCTAGAGGTTTCCCTCTCAGCTTCATTGTATCAAACCCACCATCATTCTCTCTGTCACTCAGACTTGAAGTACCTGTCATCTCGGACTTAGCTCTGCCCTTTCTCTGATCCAGTAACCCATCAGACTGTTACCATATTTTTTTTCATTCAAAATGTCTTTTGTGTGTGTGTTTCGAATCTCCATTCTTACTGTTTTCATATTCTTATATTCTCATGCCTGAATGACTGAGAAGTCCAGTTGACAATTCCACTTTCAGTTTCTCCCTGCCCCAAGACTTTCTCAGATTTATCTTTCTAAAGCACATTTATTTTCAAGTCAAACTCATACCCGGAATTTTCATTTCTAGTTCTGTATCTATTTTTCTCTCTTCTTCTAAATTGCTCCAGACATTTACACGTGAACTGGCTAGTTTTTAAAGAAGTGTTTTCTTAGTAGAAGGGGATTTTAAGTAACATTTAAAGATTTGTAGAAATGCAGTGAAATCCAGGAAACATCACGAATTTGGTCCCCCGTCCTACTACTCTGTTTAAACTGTATGTTTAAAGTTTTTAAGACTGAAATACACCCAATCACCTGGCACTGAATAATAATGGAATTTTATTTAAACTTCTCCTACAGTAATGGTGAAAATTCTTTCATGTCTCTGAGACTAGAAGGTCTCAAGACCATTAGAGTAGCATTTTATAGTAAAGAGCACAAATTCCAACAAGTGTTGTTCATTTTAAGTTAGATAAATGCCCACTTACTAGTTGAACTTCCCAGAACTAATACAAAGTCATGGGAAAGTAACACTTTTTATAATTGAAACAAGTTTACATAGAATCATTAACATTATGAAAATGCCATAATTAGAGGAAAATATCACAGTTTGCTATCACAGTATAAAATTATTCTCTTAAGTCAAGAATTCACCTTTTGTCCCTTGAACACCAAACAAAATACTTACACATGGTAAGCATATAATATGTATTCAGAAATTTAATTCACTGATACTTTCCACAATATTTTTAATAGTCAACGGGCCAATTAGATTCCTAATTTGCAGGAGAAAAAAGAAAATGTAATTCTAGAGTTAATCTTTTTTAAGCTAAGAAAATAAAATGGAAGACCTGAATAAGAGCAGAGAACCTATGAAATAATTTTCTGATGTGTAATGTCAATTTATTGGTAATGATAAAACTTTAGGGGAAAAAAAAAAACCCAGTACACCATGTTAGTGGAATGATTATCTCCCAAGGAGTGCAAGTTCTTTCGGAAAGACTCCCATATTTCAAGGACGGGCAGGTTCAGGTATATGAGTTTGTGTGGGGTAAAGGTGTCGTGACCAGAACATGCTACTGTAACACTGGAGCACATATAATCACATGCAGAGCAACTTCATAGGATTAAGTTTTCTGTGATTCTTATGCGTAGAAGGAAACTAGTTTACTTTTTGTCCTCCCACTTCATGTATAAGGAATGAGGGTCAAAGAAGGGTACTGTTAACCTCACAGCAAGCTAGCCCAAACATCACCAATGACTGCAGGTCTATATTGCATTAACTTTCACCTGCTCAGGAATGTGCAATGCTTTGTTTGGATGAAAACACAAGAATTCAGGTAAGCCAAAGCAAACAGCTTAGCCAAGAAGATGATTCAGCTTATTAGGACATGGGCAGGCAAGTGGAGGAAAAAATGGAGAATTAAAAAAAAAAACAAAAAAACCTGCTATTTGTCAGGAAACACAATCTCCCATCCTCCTGCAAAATCAACAGGACATTTTAACTTTAAAAAATAAAATAAAATAAGTGGTGATGTAGAGTAGGAAGAGTGAAAGTTGGGAAAAAAAGATGTAGAAATAAGTTGCATGTGCATGCAGTGTGGTTTCTGATAATTTTAGAAAGACAATTTGAACACAGAAGAGGTTTGAACTGACTTTTTAAAGGGGATGAAGAGGGACATAAGAGAATGAACTTGTCCATTTGAGCATGTTTTTCCTCCCAGTCCTTACTGCTCATCTGAAAACAAGAAGTAGAGTAGGTCAGGAAAGAGGTTATGGTTAACACTGCAAGATGAAAGATAAGCAGCCAGGCAGTTAGAAGCCAAAGCATTTTATCTAGAAGAGCAGGTCTGGCACTGTTTCCATCTTGATAAGAATTAGATTGGAGAGCTTGTTTGTCTACAGACTAGGATGGAGTGGAGGGTCTCAAAAAAGGGGACAAGGAAGTTGGGGGCTTAGTTATGGAGTTGTGGCAAACCACTAATGTAGTGATAAGCCCCTCTTTTGTGTTTTATGTCTACGTGAACTTTGAAATTGTTAGACTTGTCTATTTAGATAACATGGCCGTGTTCCTTTCAAATGTGGAGACTTAAATATCTAAAAAGTTTAAATGGCCTAAGCAGGGTAATCCTAGTCTAAAATTTTAAGACAACAGCTAACTGGTTGGGCCATTGACTCAAAACCTGACATCTGAATTTATGTCCTCTTCAAATGGTAACTTTATCTTCATTCTGAAACAAACGTGCAACATACTCTGAGTTTCTTTTTAAAGTTTTTCCATTTGGCTTCATTTTTTTTTTTTAAACAGATAACTATACAAGCTTCCACCTTCATGCTACTCTAATTTGATAACATAACAGGCTGGAAGTAGCTTTTGAAATATAATTATTAAAACTGACAAAACTATAAGGTCACCAAGTTCTGTTGTGATAACAACCAGGGTTGCAAAATCAGCAGCTTTTTTGGGAATTTATTTACTATTGCTTGGTATCTTGCTCCATTATAGAACCAGGAAATCAGACATTCAAAATGAAATGAGTTGTTTTTTAAAATAGTTGTTTTTTAAAATAGGTATACACAGAAGTCGGAAAATCATGCTTTATGACTGAAACCTATATAATGTTTTAAATCAATGCTACTTCAATAAAAACAAATTTGAAAAAAACAAGCCTTTAAAATTATTTTAGTGGCTAATTAAAATGATTTTAATTGGGATGGGTTTATGCTGTTCATGCTATTAATTGCTCCAGTAGAAGTTTATTGAATATGTAAGGTAATTAGTACAGGAAGAAGCATTATAGGATAGATACACTCCATAAACCTATTGGGGTTTATAATCTATACAATCTGAGAAATATTGCAAAACATTTATAGCCCAAATGATTAGATACTAAAACAAGTTTGCATAATGACCGGTAGGAAGAAAGATCTTGAAACACTATACCCTTACTTATCTTGTCTACTTTATAGACTGTCTGGCACCTTGGGTTTAACCTTCTCTGTGGTCCTGAGGCAGTCCTGATAGTTCTGGACACTGCCTGGACCACGGGGAACAGAGTCTAGAATACTGTAACAAGAGACTTCTCTTCTAGAATGCTCCCTGTTTTCATTATTCTCCTTTGCTCTGGCTACTCCGTGGCACTGTGCTGGTAGTAAAAGTCTATGAGACCTGAAGAAATTTTTTTTTAAAGATGTATTTTTATTTATACAAGAGCTGGGGTACAGGCCAGATGCGCGGGAGTGTAAGAGGATTCACCAGAGCCACAGCAGGGAACAGAATAGGCAGAACAGAACAGACAAAATACACTGCTGAGGGGAGCAGTGGGCGAGACAGGAGAGGTCTCCTGTAGGTTGCTCCTAGGCTGGCGGAGATTGAACCGGCACTGCAGAGGCTGCAGACAGCTTCACAGCGCTGCGCTCAACCGCCTGCACTACCAGGGAGGCCCCCTGAAGAAATTTTAATGATAATAATTGTGATAATGGCATCTTTATTTATAGGAGACTCCCAAGTAGCAAACTTTGTAAAGCATTTTATATAAATTGCCTCTCTACCGGTACTGAATATGCTCTAGTATTTACTCACTTAATTCTTGTAAAACCCAGTTATGCTACAACCTTATTGATAATGATGGTAATCCTTTTACTATTATACAGATAAAAAATACTGAGGCACAGAAAGGTTACGTCATCTGTTCCAGGTCAAAGAGCTAGTAAATGACAGATTTCAACTCAGGTTATCTGGATCTAGAGTAACTGTTCATAACTAGTGTTACCTGGTTAAAACTGAGGCTGTGATGAATGTCCTCATTTCATTTTTTCCTTCAAAAAATTCCTAGAATGAGATACTGGCTTTTATCAAGGAATTGGTTTTTGTTTCTAAGGTATTATTAACCAGTTTGTTCACGATTCTTCTTATATCAAAATTCCATTATTTTTTCCTGCTCTCTTTGCTCTTTATATTGTCGCAGTTAGATCTTTAACATGGAGTGTATGGAGAGACTGGGTAGGCTAAAACACACACTCCCCATTACAGATCTAATACAACAATATAAAGAGATTCAAGAAGCTAATACTCTTTCCCCCACAACATACATATCCACAGTCCTAGTCAATACTGGGTGAACTGATTAAAAATTAAATCTCATGCTGTTTTAGCTTAGATTTCTCATTCACAATCCTCTTACTCTTAATAGACTTTTTTTCAGTCATTTTCTTGAACATTCCATAGCATTTAATAATATTTATCACTCCCTTCTCATGCAACTCTCTCCTGCATCTCCTATCTCTCAGTAGGATAGCACCTTCTGTTACTCCCCTCTAACTTGTATTAACATTCCGTCTCTGCTTCCTTCACTGATGCTACGCGCTGACTACCTTTTTAACTTTGGTGTCTCTTGGCTCTTCACTTGATTTTCTTCTCATGTTGTCGTGTCCCTGGGAAACTCATTCATTCCTGTGACTTTAACAATTTAAATGCTAATACCTCACAAATCCTCATCTCCTCCCAGATACCTCCCTGAAATTCTAACATAGAGATGTTACTGTCTATTAGATGTCATCATTGGGATAGTCTCTAGGCTTTAAAAAAATAATAATTTGCTTAAAATTGAAATCACCCTCTGACCCCTAAACCTACTCTTCATCTTGTGTTTGCCATCTGAATTTGTGCTATGACTGAACACTAGATGTGAAACTCATTCTAGATTTGGAATACAGTAGAAGGGAATGATGAAGAGCGACAATTTTGAATCAGGTAAATCTAAGCTTGAACCCTACCTATTTGACTTAAAATGTGGGTGACCTTTAGAAAGTTGTTTAACTCTCTAAACTCATTTCATTATCTTTGAAATGAAGATAAATAGACCTACTTTAAAGGTTGTTGAGAAGGTGAAAGAGGATGATGTGCTAATGTGTTCTTACTGGAATTCCTAATATATTGAATGTATTTAATGAAGAGTATTGCTATCTTGCTGATAATGCCTCGCCTCTCTCATTCAATCAGTTCCTG